AAAAAGCTGAAGTGCATGAGAGACTGGGTTACGCATCACAAGTTTGTTGTACATCTTAAAATTTTGTTATTACTCGTCGTTTCATTGCAAAATAATTTACCACTTGCTGAAAATGGTGAGAATTTTATAAGCACCCAGCCTCCCATAAGCTCCCAACTTAAATAGGCACCCACTCTGGATCTCAAGCTCTACAGATTTAATAAGTGCTCAAGGCGCTACAGTGGTAGCATTAATTTCTTTCACAAGAAATATGAGATGGAACACAGACCTCATCGTATGCCTTCAAACCGTCAACCACAACATTTGGACGGAATCTTTCCATAGTAACTGGTGATGGAAGTACTCCATTCAAAGCTACAAGCGATTGTTCAGTTGTAATCATGAAGGGAGAAAAATTTCCAAATGATGCCTTGGTTAAAAAAAAGGAAGAGAAAACAAAACGAGGAATACATTGACAATTGAAACTTCTCACAACTCTAAAATTCCTTCATGTTTGCATAACATTCATTTGCTGATATGAATTATGAAAGAAGTAAAAGTTTTTACTTTCCTTTTGACAGTGATCCAATGCCGTAACTGACTTCTTCTTAAGCATAATTTTACAATAGATATACATCAAACCCAAAGAATGTTATCATCTTAAGTCTTCTTGGCCTTGTGACCTTGAAAGCCTACTAATAAACTTTACTCTGACTGTTATTTATCACATCTTGAAGTGATGTGAAGTCTTGTTATTTCCCTTTCACATGAATAGGATAATCAGTGCAGCTGCAATTCAGTCCATCCTAGTTATTTCCCAAGTGTGCCCAAAAGTTTGCTGGAACTATTATTTACCAATTTACACCCTTGGACAGAGAGAGGCCTTGCCAGAGTAACGTGTCCTCTTAATAAAGAGTAACATCAATATGGTAGCTGGGCCAGGGCTAAAATCTCCTTCCCCCTCTTCCTCCACTGGCATTTGCCACTGGATGGGTCTTCAGTGAAAAAAAAGCAACAGGAGGATATGTTAAAAGAATTAATAGAAAATAGTCTGCTTGAGGCTGTAAAGATTAAATCAGAGTTTTCTGACTTATAGGACCACCTGATTTTAAACTAAGGGTGTAACATTACAAATAATGTTTAAATTACCTTGTCTCCTGGCAAAGCAACATCACCCCACTTTTCATCCTCACAGATTAACTTAGGCTGAGAGAGTTTATACAACTTGCATCCAGGTCTTTTCAAATAACTTGAGAACCATTCAGCAGCTTCATCTCCAATATACTGACCTCCTCCATAAACCCTATACACCCTGAAAAATTACAGAAATGTCAGTATAAAGATTGGCTTGGATACTACCTGCAAGGAAACCACATTTGAGTCTTTTCTAACAGGTTAGTATATTTATCTGATCTGCCAACCTTTACAAACCTGGAATCTGCCGATAGAGTCAATATTGGAACACATCCCTATTCTCAAACCCCCCCCCCCCAACAATTCTAATTCTTGATTGCTCTATGCCGATCTCTCCCCAAAAAAGAAAATTAATTATTTTGTATCCAGTCCAAAAACAAACAAAGTTCCACCATCCTTGGACAAAGATGTAGTTTTTTGATAGGGATAACTTCAAATCTATTTTATTTTTAAATTCCCTCATCTCTAAATATCCATACTTAACTTAATTTACATGGTAAATTTCAAGAAATGTCAAGGTGATAGGAAGACTGGCTTTTGATCTAGGCAACATGCAGGTTATCCAGGAGATGAAGTATACATGACCATTAAAATTATAATCTAAACTGGTATAGAAGAGACAACATTTTGTAGTCTGCAAACACCTTTTGAAATTTCTTTGCCATTTTCCAGTCATGGAAACATGTTTTGCAAATTAAATATTGTTGACTCTCTTTCATAAGAATTGTTTTCCTTTTGCTTATATACAGAATGTTTGGTAATCTCAATTAGAATTTTACATGTGACACTTCTCTTGGACTACAGTTTCCAAGTCAAATTGAGATTAAGAGTGTTTATTTCTGCTAAGTATTAACTAGTAATGAAACTGTACATTACTTAACTGCAAAGACTACCCTATTATCTATGTAAAAAGGAATGTTCAACTAAAACTAAAAGGCAGACTGTGCATGCTATATGACTCACCGTATCCTCTTGGACTCCTGTTGATTTTCTGGTAAGTCTATATTCAGCTTCAAGGTTTTCATTCCGGGGGCATCAAGACAAAGATATTTTCCACCTTCAAAATGAGGAACAACCAAAGCCAGCTTTGGATCTACCCGTTGAGAAATAAAAATATCATTCTCATCCAAAAGAATCCAACGCCTATAAAAAAAAATAATCAAATCAAATCATCATATGTAGCAGTCACAGTCATGTGACAAGAAACCAGTACAGTTTGTAAATTGATGCTTTACTTAAGCTGCTTCCAAGAGTGCAAGGATATATCTTCAAAGCCTTGGGAGAATGGGGGCCTAGAGCTAGAGTAAATGGTCAAGAAAAAGTGGTTCACAAAAATATTATCATTGTAATGTGGCTTAACTAGGAGTTTTCAAAAGGTGGTGGTGGTGGGGGGGAGACTGAGGTGGGGGAGGAGGGTCACAGCCATAAATCACTATCATGCACTTTTATAACATAGCTTCCCCCAATGCTCTGCCTTGGGTGAAGGAAGGCTGGTATTTGTGATGAGAAGGACTTCCAAATTGAGTATCTAGCTTGGGAGCATTGGAGAATATTTATCTTGTGCAGATTCTCTGGAGTCACGAATTTTCACCTGAATTAAGGGATTTGTACGTTGTTCACTTATATGGGGAAAAAATGTATTTGCTCAAAAAGGTAGATAATGGGCACCTCGGTTCCCCTTAAGCTAAGTCTCTGTTTTACGTAGTATGTCCCAAATGCCAGACAGATGCTTCTATATTTTTTGGTCCCCCAGACTGAAGGATTAATTGAAAACATCCCAATAATGTGCGCAGCCCAAGGATTTCATTTAGAAAAAATTGCGATGCAAATAGGCGAAATACAGGATCAACCATGATAGTAATCCACTGAATTCGAATCAAATTGATACAGTCTTTTCCTCACTGAAATGTTCCGTAACAAAATTTGTCACTGGAAATACGTGCCCTAAATCACGCAACCCAAACTAAAATCACGCGAAGACATAAAACACACGCAACCCAAACTAAATAACCTCGTTCTGGGCTTATGTCTCTTTCTTTCTGGTCCTTGTGAGCTGTTTCAGTGCTCATTTAGATGATTTTTGTGCACGCAGTTCCGTTTCTTTGGCTTTTTTTCTTTGTATCGTAACTTTGGACACAAGCTAAGCTAGGCTTACCTATCATGTTCCATTCCTTCTTTGAAGCACTTTGCATTATCCACGCGAATTCCTTTGCAAGATTTCACGGGATAAATGATCAGGCTAGAAACACGACCTACTTCTGTATAAGACCTCTCTCTCTTTTCCAGTTGCCACCACAATGCTGCAATACCCGCCAGGGCCACCACGGGCACAGAGATCAACAAATATTTTGAGAAAGCCGCCATATTTTCAACTTTCTGACCTTTTGGCTTAGTAACCAAGCGCACCTCTTCAAAACAATCATGGCGTCGGATTTGTCTCTGGAACCTGCAGAAAAGAAAGCCAGATTGAATAATATAAGTGAGGGATTACTTGGTAAGAACTCCAAAGTGAAATATCAGTAAAATATGACCTTCGATTTTACACTGATCAGTTTCTGTCCTCATCCATTGAAGAAAAGATGAAAGAAGGAGTAACATTTCCTCGACCTGTTCTGGCAAACGAGTACACGCGCGATTTTCAAACAGGTATGAAGCGGAACTGCTCTCAATTCTTTGCCTCATCTACTTCACTGACTAAATTTATGTATTTGGCAATTTTCAGTGCAAGTTTACGCAGCTGATGTAACGGACAAAACACAAACATCGCAACTGATAAGGTATAAATAAAAAACGAATTTTAAAAAAACATACGAGTGCTAAATTTCCGCGCGGATTTTTCAATTTCTTGCGATTTTCCTCCATTATTTGATTTTGTTACGTTAATAGACAAAATTTTTATGTCTCAGAGATTTAAATGAAATATTGCCATTGAAGGAGTTAGGACATTTAAGACGAGTGCGATGCCGCAAAGTCAACGACGGTAAGTTATGACTTTAATGAGGCAGCCGTGAAATTCCCACTCACTTTGTAATATAAGTAGATTGAGATTTCAAATTGAATTAGATCTTTATGACTCAAAATGTTTCCTACGTTCATAGAAAGTATAGAAGGAGCCTTTTTTTGAAAAACGGCCATATCATTCTATGTGTGAATGGCATTAACATACACAAAAGGGATTTTTATGATAAATTTCTCTCTTGTAGTATGTGATCTCCCATATGGTCTAGCGGTTAGGATTCCTGGCTTTCACCCAGGCGGCCCGGGTTCGACTCCCGGTATGGGAACGCGATATCTTTTTCATTTCGCATGACTTTTTTTTAAATATGTTTTTCTTCTATTTCACCAATTCTTTTAAATTCTTTTTTCGAAATTTTATTATGAAAATTACGTTTTCTTATCAACCTTTTTTCAAATTTCAGAATCACTTCTACAAATAATCTTATGTGTAAGGAATGAGGTAGCAGCAGACAATTCATTTACTCAACTTATACAACAAAACAAGACAGCGGCAAATTTTCTTGGGGAGCCCTTTGTGGCTAATGTGGCAAAACATCCACCTTTGACCAGAGAGCAGTTTAACCAAGCATCTCTCCTTTGGCCTGTCAATTTTCATGAAGACAAATAGTAAGTTATTAATTAATATTTGGTTATTTAAAATCATGGAATGGCCTGATGTGTTAGCTGTGTTATGTATATTCAGAAACCCCTATTCTATTCCTCATTCATAAAAATATAAGAATATTTTGTGACAAATTTTTTCTGTATTTTAGAATAGTACATTATTAAACTTTTGAGTTTATTGTCTGGATTTTTTAAAGTTACATATGATTTGAGATCAAGCAGGCTTGTAAACTTTGCATGTGTTAAGTAACCCTTTGACCACTAAAAATGACTAGCATATTATGCAAGGGTGTAAAGGGTTAAATTTCCTCTGAGAGTTGTTTTGCTGGTAAACCAAGACCAGGCATCCTTTATTGTTCAGAGAAACAATTAAGATTTTAGATGGGCAATTACTATGCCCTTTTGGAGACCCGATGCATTTGTCTTCTATTTATGGTTTGATATAAACGCAGTGAATTTCTGGGCACCTTAGAGGCTGTTAATAAGATCCTATAATTCAGTGCACAGCTGTGGCCTGCTAAAATATATCTCAGTCTATGTAAACTGCATTTAGTGTTGATCTTCTTCATTTACTTTGAAAATGTTATTTAGTGTTTCAAGAGCATTAAAAGGGGAATTATTTAACAAAGATGAAGTGGCATTGATTGAAAAGTTCATGAGAATGGCAATAGTGGAAACACAGAATATGACATCCAGAAAGGTAAGATTAAAAGAGAACATGAGTCATTTTCATAACCAGTGATACATCATTATCTCAGGTGAGGATCAAGACATCAGTATCTCAGGTGAGGATCAAAGTGTTTGTTTATTTACCCATCTAAAACTCAGTTCCTTGTTCAGATATCTTCCAGCTCCAGTCCCACGATGTTCCTTCAATTAATGACTAAATCAAATTATTGTTCAGTGCATATTGCTTACTAGTTTGCCCTTGTTCAATAAATTAGTCAGACATTCAACAACTTTGAGATGTTAATCCAGAAGTTGTGTTGGAGTGGCTGCTTTGATTTTGCAGATAGCCTCTTCTTTGTTATCATAGTGTTGAGACTAGGAGAGACATGACTGATGTAAATTTTAGATATTGGCTCCTGATCACATCACCTTTTTATCTAGTCATTCTGGAAGTACTTTTAGTGCTCATGGGTTTTGTGTGTTTCTCAGGAATCCTGTAATAGTGGCTAGTATCAGAATTTCATTGTGTAAACTTTCTTTTTTATTATCCTCATACAAACAAGCTAACAAAAATCTCTGAATCTTTTATTTACAGTTTCCTATTGGAGCTGTGATTGTTGATCCACAGAAGAACCAGCCCATAGCTGTGTGTCATGACTTAAGATGTGCAGGACACCCACTCCAACATGCTGTCATGGTTTGCCTGGATCTAGTGGCACACAGTCAGTCATCAGGTGCTTGGAAACTTGACTGCCAAGAGTTAAATGAAACATGGACATTGAAAAAAAAAGGATCACAATTACAGCAAAGAACTTGCTGTCTTTGTTCTAAAAATGATTCTAAAGACTGCAGCTCAATGGAAAAAGGTTCGGTGGGTGAGAGATTTACTCATTATGGTGAGCAGTGCAACTCTCTGAAAAATACTGACAACAAATGCAAGTCATTGCCTTATCTATGTACTGGATATGATCTTTATGTTACGAGGGAACCTTGTGCTATGTAAGTATCTGACATTTTTTTAGAGATATTCAACTTAAATTAAGACATACAAATCCTAAGAGAGAACTCAAGGCTTGTCTTTGTATCTCACTTTTGTCAGATTCATTATCAGCTTTAATATATATATATAAAAATATATATGTATATATATATTAAACAGAAAAAAAAAATTGTACAAAGCAACCTCTTTCAGGTGTAAATGTACCTATGCACTCCATATTTCAAAACCCTCTTG